ACAAATAACAAAGCAGAATGTGTTAAAGTACTGAACAGCACATGGAACTTCAAAGTACAAAGAGTCACAACTCTTCATGTTCATGGTTTAGTAATGACTACATGCACAAAAAAAAATCTGTAAAGCAAATTTTTGCCATGGCGTAGCCATCAGAAGGGCTTTCAAATGAGCAATGATCAGAAAAAGAGAGACCCTATCATTTGTTGCATAATATACCATGGAGACAAAGATTTATAGAAAACAACTTAATAGAAAAATTATATTTCAGCATAAATATACACTCAGAATAGTAAGATGTGTTACAAATGTAACACATTTACTACACATTTACTTTTAAAGTAAACATACACTGCTTTTAAATCCTTCATTTTCACATTTAAATCATTCAGTTGGGATCTTTMTAAAGTGGAACTRCAATGATTTGGTCTGAATTCCTTCTTATTCTAACTTCACCAGCTCTTCTTTCACCACTTTCCTGCTGTGTGTCTCAAAGTAGCTGGTTTTGTTACTGTTCCTTTAGAGCGCTTCAAGCTCCGCCCCCCTCCAGCTTCCAGACCGGTCCACTCCAGTTTGAGGGGGGGGGTATTATGTTTTCTAGCTTGCGGAAACATTTTATTTACAATTTAATTAAAATATGTCAACAACCGAAGCCTTGTCCATCCAGTCTCACGTGTTGAAGTCAGAGTCTGATCCAGAACCAGAGGAGAATTAAGATGAGGAAATTGTAGAAGGTAAGTCCAGACCTTATTTGGTAAATCCTTCACAGATAATTTGACGTAATAGCTCAGAAAACGTCACAGAAAATAGAGAAAACTGAACGGGTTAAAAAATATGACGCAAATAGTGAACAAAAAGATCTTTGCAGCACCAGGAGAAACTAAATTCAATTTTTCTGCAATCCTAAAGATAAGTCCACAACAAAATGTATCCAACAGCTAAAACAGTGGATTTTGCAGGATATGTCCCCTTTATAGTAAATGTGCTACAATCATTTCAGTTTAGTGGAACATGTTGACATAATTTGGTTAAATAAATCCAACACATCTGTTTTAGTATCTGCATTAAGAATCATCCAGAAATCTGGTTGTGGTTTTTTTATAGGGTAGCTCTTCTTACTATCAACACCGGTGAGGTGGTATTTCCATTCTCAGTATTTGGAGACTGGGAGTTTGAATCAACACAAATCTGGCCTGAAGCTCATGCTACACTTTTTACACTAATAAATCTCCACATATAACAACAGGTAACCAGCAGCAATCCACCTCCTTCACTCCTTCCTTGAAAGGAGGTTGCAAAAAGGCAACCTTGTTAGAAGACTGAGCGGCCTGAAGATAGAAACTCAAGCTGGAGATTGAACCAGAGCCCTTTGAGCAACACTACACTGGACTGAAAATGTCTACAGCCAGCGAGAATCCCATTAAGGTGGAACATGAATCAGAGGCCTTTGGAGAAATTTAGTGCCAGCAGCTATCTGACTGTAGAATAAGTTTGGATCCTGCCTCCAGCAAGTGAAAGGCATGGAAGCAGAGACCTTGTGCTGTTTTTATAATAAGCTATCTCAGGTTGCTCAGACCATTCTTGTGATTTCTGATTTTTTTTTATTGTACAGCAGAGCAATTGAGAAACTGTCTATTTTCATTGTTCATTTTGTAACTTATAAGTCCATTTTCTGTCAATCACTTGTACGAGGAGATGATTTCTGTAGAAAACTCTCTTTTAAATGAAAACGAAGCTGAAACTTTGTTTTGAAAAGGTTGTGGCAGTGATACGAATAAAAAAAAAACTGAGATTTCTTGTCAAAATAACTCAAAGGAACTGACTGATAAAAAATAGACCTTCCTGACAAGCTTATTCCAAAATGACAGAAGTTCCAGTCAAGATGTTGCCAGAGGGTAAAGTTAATATGAGTGTGCACAAGAAAAAGCTGACTGTGGCATATTAAAATTATAATTTGCATTTTATGTAGAGTGACATCCATCCATCCATCCATCCATCCATCCATCCATCCATCCATCCATCCATCCATCCATCCATCCGACGTTGCTTTCAGATTAGATGCATTGCAGAGACACCTGCTCTGTCCCAGGGTCTCCTTCTTCCTGTCAATCACGTGCAGCACACCTCCAGAGGGAACCACAGTTGGGCTTTGTCACCAGGTTGGTGGTTAACAACTAAAGACCTGCCGAGTCTCGTTATTTCACCTTTTATTTTTGTAGTGGATTTTCAATTTAGATGTATATCTTAATATTCAAAAGACTTGGTAGAGAAAAAATCTGAACTGAGGTTTTACGGAGTATGAGCAATAGATTTTAGGCTTACATCCTTGGCTTCAATCAACTGATCTCTGCAGCCTCGGTTTCTGATATTCTAGCATTAACTTGTATGAAATCAACTGACTGAGATTTTTTTATTCCTTCCTTCCATCCATCCATCCATCCATCCATCCATCCATCCATCCATCGATGCATTCAGTTGTCCATTATTCATTCCTTCCTTCCATCCATCCATCCATCCATCCATCCATCCATCCATCCATCCATCCATCCATCCATCCAGCCATCCAGCCATCCATCCATCCATCCATCCATCCATCCAGAGTCTTCCTCTGGGCCTCATCCCAGTGGGACGTGCCCGGAACACCTCAACAGGGTGGTGTCCAGGTTTTTTAATTCTAAAATAAGTAAGTAAAGCAAAATTTGTTTTATTACAAAAGAGGCTCAGACCCATTTCTAACATTTAAATTATATATATATATAAAGAATAATAAACTAAGTAAAGGGTAAAAAGTATATTGAATGTACAAAAAAGTGTGGCAGTCCAATCCGTGACATGCTCTAAGGCACTGTAAACACACTTTTTAAAGCAAAAATGTTGAGAAATTCCCCGCTGACACTTAATTTGCTTCCAATTCTCTCCCAGTATTAGGTTTGAATTACATCCCCTTCACAAGGTCTCAGGTCGTATAAAGTTCCGCCTTAGTCTGCCAGGTCATTTTTCATGAGCCTGTGTATGCAGCTCTGCCTGCAGCATGAGCCAGGGCCAGAAACTACATCTGCTGCTGAGAGGTTGAGGGCACGGAGGCTGAAAAAGGAAGAACTCACCTCTTTCAGTGTTTGGAACTCCTAAATTAATGGTTGGTATTGAAGGATCAGAGTGGTCACTGTAGTACTCTAAAAAAAGGGCCTCCTTTTCCCAAGTCTTCTTTATCACTGGAACTAGAGCAAAGGGGGAAAAAATCAATAGAGTGTTCACAAAGTTTAACAATCAGCATGCCTCTGACTCGCTCTGTTGAATATAGACTGTAACACTTACCAAAGGGTTTTTATTTACTGAAATGCATGGATTGTCTGATGCTTTTTTCTGTTTATGATTAAATATTTAATTACTGACTCAGAAACATCAGTTGAGACAGAAAATTGAATTAAACAAGGATAAATAGATCCAATGCAGTGTTCCATAATCCTTCCACTGTGTTTGAGAGTGCCTCAGTTCATTATATTGATGTGGAAAATGTACATCAGCCTGACTCTGTGCACTTGATTAGTTTTATAATTGGCTATAAGAAAGTGCAGCTGAATAAAACATTTTTAATCACCACCAATTAAATAAAACATGTTTTCTTAATACTCAACGTTTCTTTTTAGAACTTTATATGTTGGGATTTTATTTTTCTGAATACAGAGGCACTAAATAAAAGGTTTGAATTGCATCTGTACACAATGAAAAATGTTATTTTCCTCAGATCCACTGAACCTTTATATCTGTACATGTTGAGGAGGAGGTCTCTGCAGTCATTAAGTGGGAGTTGGGAGGGGAATCATTTACTGTCTATTTATAGTTTAAAACAACAATGTGAAAAAAATATTATTGTGAGCATGTAAATAGGATCCATTGACTTCGAATTTGGTGTTTGATTTTATGATATGATATATTTGTTCATGATATTTCGTTCGTTGTTCTCTGTACAATGACAAATAAGGCAAACTGCATAAAAAATCATATATAGAAATCTTTTTCCAGGCAAGTTAGAGCTGTTTTGACTGAGCTGAATTGTTACAAAATTCCTCCACATATGCAGCATTCAAATTTCATGCAGCTAGCACCTTCACATCTCAAGTTATGGCTAAAATTAATATTAATAAAATTAGTGATCTGAATTGTTAGACTTCCCCCACACATGCTTTTACAAAAAATACGCCCACACATCAATCCAACCAATCACAGTTTAATTGGACCACGCCCACACATCAACCAATCACAGTATACCCAAACCACGCCCACACGCCAATCCAACCAATCACATTTTACCCGGACCACACCCACACGCCAATCCAACCAATCACAGTTTACTCGGACCACACCCACATGCCAATCTAACCAATCACAGTTTACCCGAAACACGCCCACACATCACTCCAACCAATCAGTTTACTCAGACCACACCCACATGCCATTCCAACCATCAGTTTACCCGAACCACACCCCACACATCAATCCAACCAATCACAGTTTACTCAGACCACGCCCACACATCAATCCAACCAATCACAGTTTACTCAGACCATGCTCACACGTCAATCCAACCAATCACAGTTTACTCAGACCACACCCACATGCCATTCCAACCATCAGTTTACCCGAACCACACCCCACACATCAATCCAACCAATCACAGTTTACTCAGACCACGCCCACACATCAATCCAACCAATCACAGTTTACTCAGACCACGCYYAMACKTCAATCCAACCAATCACAGTTTACTCAGACCACGCCCACACCAGTCCGACCAATCACGATTTGCCCTCTCTGACCAATCACGGCTTACCCAAACTACGCCCGCACCAAAGAAATGCCCCCTTAGTGACTGCAGAAACACCTATTTGTACATGTTTTGTAATCTGAACACAATCCGTCCAGAGTCAAGTTTTAAAACCTCCTACTGAACAGACGGTCACAGAACAACAGTTTGAGCAATGTTACGTTGCAATGTTCATAGTGAAGCTGTGTAAAATAAGTAAGGCTTGTTAACACACTGTGTCTTACTGTGGGGGAGTTTTACAAGTTAAACTCTTCAATTTTCGCTAATTCTCACTGTGTGCTTCTTTATTTCTCTCATATCCCATCTGTTAGGCAGATTAAATAAATCCCATTAAGAGTTGACTACAAAATACAACCCAAATGGCTCTCAACAGGGCTGATGTCAAAATAATTTCATAGCTCAGGTGTCTGACTGTTGTGTCATGTTTATGGAAACATCAGCAGACCTGTTGCTGTCCTGTTTGTTGCTCAGTGACAGCCCCCTGCACAACATGGCTGTGTGTGTCTCTGCGTAGAGCGCGGGTGACATCTGATCGCAAAAAGAATTTGAGTACGCAGTGACTGCAAGGTGTGAATTCTGTCAGTCAGAGCTGACGACTTGCAATCACATTACCCAATGGATTACAAATGACACATCTGAACAGGCTCAGGGAGAGAAGCAATGGGTGGTCTTCAGCACCAATTAGAAAAACAACAAGTACTCATAGATCTGAAAAAACAAACAAAACAAAACTGTATTTAAGAAAAAAAATAAAAATCAAGTTTTAAAACAGAGCTATTTTATACGAAATGTGAAACCCTTTCATGTTTCTTGCTTTGTAGATTTAAACTAGTCTTTAATTTATAAAGCCAATAATCCTTTTTATGTTGTTTGTATTTGAATGTGGTAATAACAGCTTTGAAGATGAAACTGTAATTATAGGTAATTAGTTTAATTACACTTGCGAACCCCCCTTTAAACATAGCACACAATTCATTTGATCCCTCTAATTAATCTGCCATTTGATCCATTGACTTAACCTACAGCATTTTCATCAAGCTTAGGAGCAGCAGACCTACTGTGAGAAGCTCAATATTGGCCAGCGTGTGCTGTTGTGGTACATTTACAGCTTTATGTGAAGCACTGAATTAAGCACTTCAATGTATTTTTTTTTTCTTTCAACACTATTAAATCCTTTTAGGCATCGGGGTGTAATAATTTACTCAAAGATCTTAGCATAAAACAGAGAGGCACTTGTACAATTCTGAATGTCAAAGGTGAAACAAATCCATTTACCCCAAAGCAGCAAGACTAAAATGTGTCTATAGGGAAATGGAGCGACTTTGTGTGTGTGTGTGTGGGGGGGGGTGACTCACCTCTTTCACTGTGAAACTTCCTACACGTTTTCACAGCAACAAATAAATCTTCTTTTTTCACAGGTTCCCCCTGAGACAAGAATCACAGATTTAACAATGTCTATCTAACTTTATATTTAAAAAAAAATAATAATGAAACAGAATCTACATCATACTGTATTCTCTAAAATATTTTCATTTCAGGTAATGTTAAATGTCAAAGTCATCAGTGGAAATTAAGAATAATACCCTCTGATAATAATGCAGCATGCTTAAACAATTCAAAATTCATTAGCTAACTATATATCTTTAAAAATATCATGTTGAAGATTAAATTCAGAACCAACAATTCAATGCTTTTTTGCTTTCTACACTATTACAATAAATAATAATAATAATAATAATAATAATAATAATAATAATAATAATAATAATAATGCTAAATTTCGGACTCTAAGCCATTAGGCCTTAAAGAAGACATATCATGCTTTTAAATCCTTCCTTTTCACAGTTAAATCATTAAGTTGTGTCTTTATAAAGTGGAACTGCAATGCTTTGGTCTGAGTTCCTCCTTATTCTAACTTTACCAGCTCCTCTTTTACCACTTTTCAGGGGTGTGTCTCAACACAGCTGATTTTTACTGTTCGTTTAAAGTGCATCAAGGCCCGCCCCCACTCTGATTTGAGAGAGAGGTTTAGCCTTCTGTAGTGTGCAGAAACATCTTATTTACAATTCAATTAAAAGATGTCAACAACAGAAGACTTGTTGACCAAGCCTTACATGTTGGAGCCAGCGTCTGACCCAGAACCAAAAGAGAATTAAGACGAGTAAATTTGGTAAGTCCAGACCTTGTTTGGCACGTTTGTCACAGATAATTTGACGTAATAATTAAGCCGGGTACATACCAGATGCGTTTTGAGCAGCCAAAGCAGCCAGTTTACATGCAAAGTGTATGGTGGACGCGCGTCTAGGAGCAGCTCAGTTCAACCTGTTTAGCGGAGCGCGCAAGGTAGCGGTAGGTGAGGTAGAGCATTTTCCTCGCACGCGGCGCGTCCAAAGCAGCAGCAGCTCGAGTTAAAAAAATTGAACTTTTGCTGCTCGACGCGCCGCGTCAACCAATCAGAGATACTCATTTTTCCACATGACAGCTTCCTGAATGTTGCCCACTAACCTGAAACAGACGGACAGGAGATCTTTAGCTAAAATCGACCGTCTGTGGTTGGTGTTCTGGCTGGAGGTATCAGCACCGATGCGGGTCAGCGGCTCGTTAAACTGACCGCGGTGTTAAACTGGGCTCGGGACAAAAAATAATTTGTCAGCTCGCAGCTCCTGGAGTGGTGAAACCCACCGAACAGACCGCCTCTAAATTATATGGTGAATTAATTATCTTGTGTGCGCAACGTTTGCTTGCTCTCAGTAAATAAAGCAAAGCCATTTTCTCTATTTCATGTGCCATTAAAAGACAGACCAGAAAAAACACGACACTTCTCCCTCTTCAGACGTGCGTCTAGTCTCTGTCCCAGTCTGAATGTAGCGCGTCCAACTCGAGGCGTCAGGCGCGTTTTTGCTGCTCAAAACGCATTTGGTGTGAACCCGGCTTCAGACAACATCATAGAAAATAGAGAAAACTGAACTGAAATATGACCCAAATATATTATAAAGATGTCTTTGCAGCACCAGGAGAGACTAAATGCAACTTTTCTGCCTCCTAGAGGCTCCAAGTCCACAACAAAATGTTTTTATTAGCTAAAAGTTTGGATTTTGATGATATGTCCCCTTTACAGAGAATGTGTAACACAGTCCTGTCACGTTTGTGTTTAATGTAAGGAGGAACAAACCACTGGATGCAAAAATGGATTCACTTCTGAACAGAAACATCAAATTATAACCAGACTTAGAATTAAAAAAAAGAAGCTGAAAAATGAAGCTAAACATCTTAATACACACAGTGAATACTTATATAAGGGTCCTTTCAGAAAAAAAACAACTAAATAAACTAGTATTCACAGCTGCACAATTGGCCACATATGCCAAACTTGCTAACTCTAATGCAGCAGAATCTGCAAACACTAACCATACACTGCATCTGGCTTTGCTCACATTAAAAGGACTGTGTTGTAAACAAAAGCAAAAAGATCCTCCAAATGTTCCAAAGACTGTGCTCATCAGTGAGGATGCTTTGTGAGACCCCGGAACCTCATGAAGGCTAAGGTAGATTCTAACTCTGCGTTTTACTGGGTCGGATTATTGCCTGAAGTACAAAGGACATCTTTTATTGCTCTTCCTACATTGAATGTTGTCCTTCACCTCCTGGAATCTGCCTCCTGAGACTCTTGATTCTTTTGTTGGCGTTGAAGCCAGATGCTGTTCTGGCTGCAGTTGGCAATTTGCCATGCAACTATAGTGGAGGGGGGAAAAAAAAACCAATTATGATGCCACCTTCTGTTCTAAACAGAAACTTCTCCCAGAATAGTTGTTAAATTTGGGACGTCGGTGTTTCTACGCGGGATAGTCGAGTTGCTTAAAATAAATGCTGTTTTGCGAGGACAGTGATAACAATAAATTGGAAGGAGATAACAAACAGGGATCAGGTTTGGGACTAAAATAGCAAAATGCAGCATGTGTGATCTGAATAACAAATGTAGTTTAGATGGAACTTTTTTCCCCGCCGTCAAAACTGCCTCAAAGGGGAGGATGAAAAATTAGAATAGGGACACCTTCAGCTCAGTTCTTGCATTCTTAATATATCTTATTTCATCCAGTCAAAAATATTTACATCTCAGTCAAAAAAAATATATATATATATTTTAAAACATCACAAATTATTTTGGGGTTAGAGCGTGTCAGTGCACATCTGAAACTTATTTTGAAATAAATAAGAATAATAAAACCATCTATTAAATCTATTCCACTAAATAACTCTGCTTCTTACACTACTGGAACTGTCTGTAACATTCTTTGCTCGTGTTCACTACAAACTAAATGCATATGAGAAGATAAACGCTCACTTTGGAAAAAAATAAATGAATAAAAAAATCAAAGATTAAACACACTGTTTAAATTTCAGAGCAGAAAACTTCAAAGGTTCTTCGTAATTTACATACCGATATGTTCAGCACTGATTAGAAATAAAAGGTCTAGCTTTTCCTGAAGGAATACACCTGTCACCGTCCATGCCGGAGATTAAGACTAGGATCAAATTCTAACGAGACGAGACATTAAAGCTGATTTATAAGTGACGTTGACAAGTGACAAAATTATTGTCTCATATGTTACGTGGAAAAGAGCACATCAACTTAAAAAAATGAGCAAATGAGAGCAAGACTATTTTCTTTCTTTCTTTTTTTTTTAAGAGACAGCTGCTGTGGAAAAGAAAGATTTCCATTTTAATTGAAATTTCCCTGGTTCTTTAAAAATTCAATCAAACAAAAGGAGATAAGCTAAAGTCTGCTTCGTCAAACCTTTTCTAATTAATATTGATTAATATGAAAAAAGCTTAAGCTTAAAACCAGTTAACAGCCACCGCAACACCCGTGTTCCGTTTGACTCATTCGTTCTTTTTATGGTGTTTTAGGCCTGGATGTTAAGGGTTAAATGCTTTTAGGGAAACAAATAAAAAAATAAAAACTACCTGGGAACAATGCAGGTGGTGGTTGCTTAGCAACAGGGGCTAATTTCTTGGCGGACAACTAAATTTAATTTGGCAAAACAAAACAAGACTCACGTCTTTTCCGGTTAATGGATCGTGCGTTACTGAACGGCGCATAAAGGCAAGGTTGAACTTCCCCCCAGAAACGTTGCTGCTGCTGCTCGGAGGCTGAACATGCGACCTGTGACGAGCTGCCCGCTGCCTTTGATTTTACGAGGTCAGTTAACTTTCTGTTCCATTTCCTGGGATTCGAGGACAATCGAACTAATCTGCGCACAAGAGTGGCTACTCACACACACTGGAGGCACTTTGCTCAGAGTGGTCGCACAGTGCCGGGCGAGAGGAGAGTCCTTCGGCTCAGTGCACAGCTGAGGAACGGCGGTGAGATGCGTGCCCTTCCCGTTGTCCCAGATATACAAAGCAATCTGCAACGATACAAATTGATCTAATCAGGTTAATGAGCTTAAAACGGAACACAATCTTCAGTCAGAAGTGAATTATAACATAAAAAAAACGCAATACTGTGTATTATTACAAGAAAATAAACTCAGCAAACTTGATGGCGGCGATAAATAAAAGATGCAATAAAAGAAAGGGATGGAAGGAGAAGCTGGAGCTGGGAGAATTGCTGTAAGCCTTTCTAATGAAAAGATAATTAAATTTTTTTAGAGTTTAGCTCAAGCACATTGCGGGGGGAAAAATGCTCCAGTAAAAGGAGTATTTAATGAGAGTGACACAAATCTGTTTTGGTTGTGACAACAGTTTAAAATGAAGCAACAGAAATTGATGGTTTAGCCCAGTGCTAATCTCCAAACAACCAATTGGAACGGCACTGATGCGTAACGGCACGGGAAAGCAAACATACGTAAAAGCAAGTCTTCGTATATTAGCAACTCAAAATTGTCTTTTAGTTTCTTTTAAACACAATGGAAATGCAGCATTTTTGTATTCAGAGCTGTAGGAAATACCTCTTACTAGCTCCAACTGCACCACCTTTTTCAGAATAAGTTTGATAAGTCTGATGCTATGCACACACACACACACACACACACACACACACACATACACACACACACACACACACACACACACAAATAAAAAAATATCCCACAATGCCTCTCTGACTGAATTTCAGCGATAAAAAATAAGAGCTTCAATACAACACCATGACAATTCTCCAAAGTAATGAGATTTTACTTCAAGGTTGGATGGCTTTCATGCTTTGCTCTTTTTGTGCAAACAGATTATTCAGTAGTAGGCATAGACTTCAGTCTGAGAAACTAAACAGTTAGAAAACAAACAAAAAAATAGCAAAAACAAAACGGGTCTGCGGGTATCTTACCTCGTGTTTCAGGTCAATAGTGAAGTCTGATTTAAGTGGTTCGTCTCTCACTTTGTTTGCGAGTCTACAAAGAAAACAAGAAAAAAATTGCATATGTTGAAATGAAATGCACTCCAAATACAGCCTCGTACGTTAAGATGTGAAGTTATTAACTAGTGTTACTGACAGACTCGCTTCTCAGACGCACCGAACAACAAGAGGGAAGCTCAAAGCCCAGGCAGCAGCAAAGTCTGGATATTTGAAGTTGGAGGGATTCTCTGCAAAGGCGTAGTGATGGATGATGGTCGACTCTTCATCATGCAGCGGTTTGCCAAGAAACCACTCCTGATGATATTTATAAGAGACTTATTTCAGTTTATTAAAGCAAAACACAAACACATTTTGATATAAACACACTTTGATATTTCACAAAAAAAAAGAAACATTTTGGCTTCTGCTCTAATTAGGAAGTCTTCACGCTGCACTTGTCAGAAAATCTTTGAAATTATTTGCAGTGAGCAGGTTTGCTACTGGCGGGGGGAAATAATGAGAATTTCTGATAGAACAAACTTTCAACATGTCAGCAACTAAGTTTCAAACGTTTGACATATCTGGAGTAAGACTCGTCTTTACAATTTCATCTGTATCTTCAGAACTATGTCACACAATCGTGTCTGTGACACAAGTCTGTAACACAAACACGTTAAGACACAGAAAGGATTCAAACGTTTTGTCATCCACATGGTAAATCCACGCACAATAATCTAACTGTAAAACATGGTGGTGGTAGTGTCATGTTTTAGAGTTCAATATGAGAGCATTGTAACAGATCAACATCACTGCTTTTAAGTCTTTTTTTGAGGCTTTGTAATTTTATTAAGTATTGTTTTTAACTCGTTACTTTTATTTTGTTACATATAAAACCTAAAATTGATACCTTTACTTCTTTACTTTAAAATTGAATACCTTTGGTCTCTCAGCAGTGGCTTTTTGAAAATGTGACCAAACATAACAGAATATTTTTTTTATGTTTATACCCACAACAGAAATCAATTTGTATGCAAATATGTGATCAATACTACTAATACAAAAAAGTAAAACATGTTAGCTCATGTTTCAATTTCTTTCTATGATCTTTCTCTCAAATCCATCACAATTACCTTTAAATAATTTGAAGACTATATAATAATAAGAATTAGAAAAAAAAATGCCTGAATAATTCAGTTGTATTAGTTTTTATGAAATTTGGTATAAACTATACAGTATTTTTCTTGTTTACATGAATATGGTCTTTTTATTTGTCCTGATGTGTATAATAATAATAAGTAATATAATAACAATAACAATATTCTTTTGTTTTATAATGTCACCACCACTGACCGTAAAGGTTTCTGAAAAGGCCTTGAAAAGGCCCATGGACCATCAGTTGATAATCACAGTTGTAGCTTCTTTTGAGGCTCCGGACACATTTTATTAGTGAGACGAGGAGATGGCTCTTTAGATCATAAAAGGCTGCAGATTCCTGGGTTAACCCCTTTAACAAATGCCCCTGAAATACCTTTAAAGTCTTTTGACATGTTTTAAGGGTGCCAAACTAAAGGTAAGAACCGGAGGAAGTTGTCCTCAAAATGAAAGCCCCCGGTATCGTCTGGAAACGTTTAAAGGCAGAAATGCACCATTTTTGCCCACCGGTGGAACAAAGACTGTTAAGGGGATAAGTAAATTCTACAGTTTACTTATAGAGCAGGGGTGCCCAAACATTTTCGCTGAGAGGGCCAAAATTAAAAAACATTTTTCCTGAGCGGGCCAAAATTAAAATCAATCTGAGGGACGCGGGCCAAATGCAATAATATAAGAAATGCTTAATACTTCAGTAAAGTTGTTTAATTTTTTTATGATTAAGCTAGCAGCCAATGTGGTTGCCCACATTCTTCAGTGCATGGACACGGAGAAAATTCAACGTATGCTCAGGCAGCAAAGACTCATGGGATTTTTCATAATTTAAAATTTGAGTGTATGGGGTCTTATAAAGTGTGCAAATCTATATATGGACTTAAATCTAATCTAAATGTCTCTTGTAGTTACTTGTATTTTATATTTAATCTTAACATAATTACAATCTAATAACCAGGACAACTGCTGGTGGGCCAAATCAAATGGCTCGGTGGGCCAATTTTGGCCCGCGGGCCCCACTTTGGGCACATCTGCTATAGAGTGTGTAAATGTACTTTTACTTTCCCAATTTTTATGATCAGTTTTATGACTTTTACTTAAGTACTTTTCTCATCAGTGAAATTAATTTTTACCAAAGTCATTTTCTGTTAATGCATTTTAACTTTTACTTAGTATTTTTTTTCCAAGTACTTTATAGACCTCTGTCTAAAAGTAGCAACATGTTCTCGAGAGCCTAAAATATTCCGAAGCAAAAACTTGGTTTTTCTTTCTTGACTCAGACTGAATCTGACCACGATGAGCTGAAACACTTGAGAGGGAAGAGTTTGCCTCAGGGCTCGTTGTAATAAAACAAGTCATCAGGACGTATTCTTTGTCTTCCCCTCCTCCTCAGGATGAAACCGTTAATATGCATACAATATTGAAATCCATCTTCTGCTTGAAAATCAAATTTTATGAAGGGTTTAGACAGGAAAGTAAAATAACCAACCAAAATAAGCCCTTGAATTTGCTGATGGAAATAATGGATTATTAATTCCTGTCAGCTTAACATCAAAGCGTGGTTATAAGATCATTTCTGCTCATGTTTCAGCCTCTTCACGAGAACAACCAGTAAAATAACCCAAACAAAACAACACGAAAAACAAACGCTGAGCATCCAGATTAAAAGGAGAAACATCCCAGTTATATTTGGATTTGTAAAAATAAATGAGCAAAAGGAATTTAGTGCTGGGACTTGATAAAACATATGTTTTCTTCCAGCAATAGTTTGTTACTTTTTTTTTTTTTTGCAAAATCTACTCCTTATTTATCACAACCACTGTATCGACCCATATAATAGCTGGACAGTGAAAAAAAAAGAAGTTTAATTAGAGCAAGACAGCAGTGATGTGTTTGACAGGTGATGAATCAAACCGGTGGAGCTAAAAGAAACCTGACAGACTCAAAGGATCCAACAAGAACACTGTCTCTTCTAATTGCTGTGATGATCAAATAAAAGTTGGGAGTTCAAAATGAGAAGCTTTGCCTTGCTGATTATTTGAACAGTATGAGACAGAACCAGAAGGATGTTCACAAGAAAAAAGGAAGCTTACTTTATCCTTGTCAAATTTCACCAGGACATGGAGAAGGGTAACAACGTTCACATGCGTTTCCTCTTCGAGAAATACGATCCAGGATGAGTTTTTCTCAAAGGAATGGGACAAGCTGAGAAACAAAACATAAAAATTGAACAAGAACAGACACATTATTCTATCCAAAAGAAAAATAATAAAGCACAGATGGGAAAATTGGGCTCTAAAGATTAATGTCTTCATGATTTTATTGATCCAAGTATTGAATATTTGTTAAGACAGACAAGATCTCAAACAATCAGGAGCACATATTAGATTCACACGGACAGCTGCTGCTAATGCATTTCAATGCTGCCTGCACCACTGATTAGCTGCTCCATATTTTCACACTGACACATTAAGAAGGTTTTTATCATAATGTGAAGTAATCAATCAGCAAAGATCGTCTTTGTAATGACTTTTCAGCAAATGTAGCACATCAAACCTAAAATAAAACCTCGAAGAATCCTTCAAAAATTAATTTAATAAGGAATCGGGCGAAGACTGGGCCGCGATAATCAAATCTGGGCAGTTCGGGGATACTCACGAAGGCAGCAGAGGAAGGATGCTCCAATCACCCTCATTATCTGACAAACTGTGGAGAAGCAAAACCACGGGGGGGTTCTGAAAACACACAATGCACACTTTTAATAACTGTACAATAATGTTCGAAATAATTACAACAACGAGGCACTAAAACATGACAACGGAAAATAACCGTTATTTATTAACTCTCGTGCCAATTTGGGATCATGATTATTCCAAAACACACACAAATAAAAACTGTAATAATGGTTTTGCAGTCCAGCTACAGTTTTGTATTCCACTTGTAAATGCAGTGCCTGTTCAAAATAGACACAGCTCGTGGGTGTGTGTGTGTGACCTCCATGCTTTCCGATGACAAAAAAAAAACGTATTTGTTTTATTAAAGAATGACTATAAACGCTACAAAAACGAGAATCCCTTATCCAATTAGTTCAGGGTCACAGACTACAAGTATACTTTAGAAAAAAAAATAGAAGCTCTTTGTTCGGGAGAAAATGTTTTGCTTGGAGACAGTGCACATTGTGTTTGGTTTATGTAGAGTTTGTGTATTTCTCTGATCTTTGTAATCTCTGTTTGTTAAACATAAAAGAAACCTACAGCATGTGGACAGAAGTGGCCACATGTGTTGATTAATGAATTTGGGTGTCAGCGTGTGGGATACCTCCTTACTTCTGCCGTTAGACAATTGCAATGCTTCATCATACTGACATTTTGAACAATGTTCCATTCTAACTCTGTGGTAACACTTTGAGGAAATCTTATCTCTATTTCATCACCAGTGCACCAAACGAGGACCATAAAGACAAGGTTTAATGAGCTCTGTGTGGAGGACTTCACTGCCCTGCACAGTGACTTGACCTTAACCCCGTCATCCACCTTTGGGATGAAAAGGACAGGGACTTCTAGCCCAGCATCAGTGCCTGACCTCATTCATGCTCTACAGAATGAATGGGAACAAACTCCCACAGAAGCACTTCACAATTCTGAGTAAAGCCGTCCAGGAACAGTGGAAGCTGCTCTGTAAAAGGGAAAGAAACTCCATAAAGTCCCTGTTGGTCATGTGTGACCAAATGCATTTACGGTACATTTCTACACTCATACAGTGCAAGATTGAATAACGATGTGTTTCTAAATGAGATATACCAATTGGAAACTTGAATCAATAACAAAATGTGACTGTGACTTCACCTTCAAACAGGCATTGACCAGTTTTGGTCTCAATTCTCTGCAGATATGAACACTGGCTAAATAGCAAATACACAGTGCAAATACACTGTGCAAATATAATGTGCAATTTTGCCAGCAGGAATGTTTGACTGCCCAACCTGGTGTACAGACAAAAGATTTTTAAAACACCAAACCTACGATATTTGTGACACCTCTGTCCCACATTCCTTATTTTGAAGTGTTCTGACCTTCCACACTTTTTTAACCATTTTTATTCACTTGATCAAGACTGAACAGTTAATTAATTAATTAGTGAGTTTCTTTGAGCAATTTTTAACAGTGTTCACCAATTACCTCAGCTAACAGACAATTTCAAAGTGCAAGCAGTCAGGTGGAGCCTAACTGGACGTAGCAGCTGAGCATAGATCTCTTGCGGACTTCCTTTTTCCAGTGAGGTGCTGCGTCTGACAGGAGTGAAGTGCTGCACCAAACGATTATTTTCTAATCGATTAATCTAATGATTATTTTTTCGATTAATCGATTATTCTAACAACAAATCTAAAAGTTATTCTGATGTGAGTGCACAGGAAATTTAAAATGTTTTCATCAAATTAACAAGAACACTTCTTTAATATTGTAATATTTTCTGTAATAGTTTTTCATGGACACAAAATATGCACTCTAGAGTCAATTCTTTAACAAGAAAAAGCTTAAAAGGTTTAACATCAACATAAAATCTCAACCAAAGCATATAAAATTCAACTAAAAGAAATATAGTACAAGATGTTAACAATCTAACAAATGAACTAAATCCTTCAAAATTCAAGTCACTCTCTGGAAAACCTATAATAAAAATATAATAAACATTTATTTGTTATTTTTTATTTAACATATTTCTCAATATATAAAAATTAACAAATATCAAGACAACATCCAACTCTTTGTATTGYAACATCARTTGTGTAACTTATTTCTTTAAGGTGAAAACTGTTGAAAACAACAGACTGTTTTGTCTTATTGCACAAATTAAAATCCAGCTCCACGTGTTTCTATTGATGTCATTTCCCTGCTAGAAAAATGTGTGATGGAGGTCCATGGAAGGCAAATATGTTTAAATCAAATAAACAAAAGAGGATGCAGTTAAATTTAATAAAAGGTATTTAAGCTACGTTTTGAACATCCAGAACACGTCCAACACTTGTTGGCTGCTTGTGCTCTTTAGGTCAGACGTGTGTCGGGAAGCTCCTCTGTTGTTTCAGACGCTGGGGGAACCATCTGATGGGGGAACGTGGCTCGACCTAACACCGCTCTCTGTTTAATGGTGGATGAAAAAAAGAAAGTGGCGGTACTTTATTTACTTTGAGCAAGTGAACGTCATGTTCACAAGATAATTAATCCACCAGATAATTCAGAGGCGGTCTGTTCGGTAAATTTTACTCCAGGAGCTGCGAGGCTTGTTTTCAAGCTTCAGACTGAACTGAAGCAGCAGCTGCTGACGTCATTACGCTCTTGCGCGATGCTGCGTTCAGGACAAGCATGGAAAACTCACCACTCTTATGCCAATACGGTCGCAATGATGCATTTAGGTACCGAAATGGAATTGCATGAACATTCACGTGGTGGTTATGTAATACAGCGAATCGATAATAAAAAAATCTGCGTCGACAAATTTACATAATCGACGTCATCGATTATTTCAACTAATCGGTGCAGCCGTACAGGAGTGTGTCTTGCAATTAGGGATAAAGTTCTTAAGTAGTATTTTTAATCTCATACAATACGCTCACATTTGAAATGTGATGTGTTTGTATGATAATATTTTGTGGTATAAATCGTGCTATTTCTGTGCACACACACACACATATACATCTGTGTTTTAGTCTGTGCCTGTCACAAAAGCTTCCATTCGGTAATTTAGAAAATCAAGCAGAAATGCTGTATTTATTGTGGGAGGAAAACAACCCCGAGACAAAAATACTGATTGCTTCTGACATTTTATGTCTCTTATTAGGTTGTAATTATTTACATTTTCACTGACAGAGATTGCATGTTTTATGACTGTACACTATTTTATGTAAAAAATTAACTGAGTGAAGATAAACTCAGCACATGTGATTGACTCGGCTACCTTTGTATCCAGGAAGCAGCCTGTAAGACATTAAACAGAACTCCAAACCGCTTTGTGTTGTGGAGGTGAAACCGAAGTCATGGATGGATTATTATAACTTTCACCTAAGAAGATTGGAAGAAGGAGGACGTTAGAAAATTAGCATTTTATCTATTTATTATTCTAAGTTTAACTCATTCATTGTAACCTTTAAATTAATTTCTCATTTTTGCCCTTTGTTTCTGGCCCTTTATTATGCTGTCTCATAAATTTCACTCTGAGTTCATTATCCTGATGTACTGTCACTGTCAGACTTGCTTTTACTATGTGAAATACATGAAAACAACTAATTATAACATCTTTGTTCCCAAAGTCATACAATGTCTTGTATCACATGGTATTTAAACTGTCCCTGATGATATTTAATGAGGAATGAAAAAGGTTTTATGATCTTTGAATGTGCTCTGATCTGCCTCCTTAAAAGTGGGACTTCCTCATCAGAAAACCAGGTCAAAATAAAGGTCTGATTGGTTGTCAAAAGCAAAGTTTACCTAACATAAAAACATAATGGATCCCCAGGGAAGACTTTTCTCTCCCAGGCTTCTTATTCAAGCAATAGCTTGCAAAGTCAGAGTTGGAAGCTCACTATGGTTCTTAAGACAATCTCCATCACCTTACATTTAAAAATGATATTTTATGGCAAGTTTTTCCTCCATAATTATTACAAGCAACAGTTGTCATAAAAATGATTGAGCTGATATGAACCATTTTTTAGGTTTGAGTTAAGGTGAAAAACAAAGTTTTAAAGACCCAGTTCTGAGCATCTGTGACCTTGGTTCATCTGTAAGAAATCCTTTCTTCTCACAGAGAAAAAAAACCACTGGCTGCAGCAAGTAAGACTATTCATAAGAAACAAGCAGGAAAAAGCGAGGCTGTGGAAGCGATTAGTTCTAACACAAAGAGGTAACCAAATACCTTTTCAAGTAACTAATTTATATTACTCAACTACTCAGTTTTATCCTTTTAATCAGTACTCATGTTTCTTGACTGTTAACAAAAATTGATTGACCACCCTTGTCTCTGGGAAATTAATCTATTTTCACTTTAAAACTATCTGAAATCACAGATTCTTATCTTTACACGAATAAAGGCACTCCAGGGCAAGTGTGATTGTCATCATCATTCATCATTTGTAAAAAAAAGGGAAAAAGAAAAAAAAATCTAAACTAGATATCTCCCATTCATTAGATATTTGTACAAATAAACGTTAGGCCCAGAGTCTGTGACTAAAGGCAGCTAAAGGCAACAAACACAGAAAATAACTCGAATTTACTGCAAACAATTTAACCAAAACTCTCCATATGTGTGCCCAATAGCCAGTACCAACAGGTTCACTGAAAGCTTCCTCTATACTAAAGATAGACAGTTTGCCTTTTCTGAGGTTACACTTTACATGCAGACTATGGCCCTGTTTACACAAATCCTCTTTAAGTGAAGTTTAACTTTCACCTCCATAACATTTTTTTTCAGTGATTTTAGGCCAACTGTTTCATGGAAACAGCACCAATTAACATGAAATTTGGCAGGAATGACCTACACTGCACCATCCAACACGTTTTACGATAGACCCCATATTTTAGGAGGGGGCTCCATCTAAACATGGGGTGTCTGGACATACAAAAATGTCTATAACTAAAAAAAAATCAACATAGGAGCTTTGGATTTTTTTTATTGTTTAGCTCTGATGAAAGGCTATCCATCGGGACCATCAATGAGCCCCTCCATCCCCCCAGACCCCCACCCAAAACAATAAATCTGTTCTGGTGAGTACTGGTGCATTAGTGCTTTGCGTACGTGCGGGGGTCATACATGCTACTATGTCGTATCCAGTTGGTTAGGGTTAATGATATTTAATTTTTTGTTTCATTCTTTAGTTGTTTTTTTTTTTACCGCATTTTATAATGTATTTTATTGTATGTGTCTTTGAGTGCCATAAAAGGCACCTTCAAATAAAATGTATTATTATTAATATTAATATCACTGAAACTGAATCTTTTTGAAGCCAGGTGTCAAAATGCAGTTCTTTTTTTTTCTTTTTTTTGAAAAGCCAGGCATTAGTGTGAAATCACACATGTGCATCAATACCAGCAATACATTTTCTATTCTTGCGCAAGTGGGTGATTGGTGACAAAGGTAGCTAGCAGAGTGCAGTTTGTGCTACTCAACCTTTTAAAACGACAGTCCAAATGAAGGTTAACGTATTCATTTTTGACGGAACTGCATATTCCTGTGAATGTGTTTTTTTTTTCACTCAAAATCAAGACTCAGGAAAAGGCTAACGTTTTAAGCAATCGTTCACGTGTGAATAGGGCCTGAAAAATAAAAACGATTTCCGGAGGTTCTAATATTCTCATCTCAGCAACCCTGCCATGAACCTTCCAATGTGATGTTATTAACCTCGACGTGTATTGAAGTCCACCACTCTGGTCTGTCACTCATGAATTCACTGTCCCTGATTTTGATGACTCCAAGGACACGTTAAGTAAACTTAAGGGCCTCGGTGTCAAAGAAAACACATTCTACCTCTGCAACGCTGCATCCTTTAAAGATGACCTATCACTGGGATTAAGGAGATTCAAGATTCACTTCTTTCAAAATGTGTATTTTTTATTTTATCACTTTAGTACCATAAAGCGCAGCTCATTCAGAAACAACGTCCTCAGCCCACTTCTGAATGAAGCAGGAAGATTTCCTAATTGCGTAAGATTAAAAGTAACCACATGTCACAAAAAGCTGAGACTCTTGCATATTTTAAACTATGTTTTCATATTTAAGACTTGAATGCACTTTAGACGCAGGGTTCCATGAAGGTTATCATGAATAATTCTTCATTCCATTATGAAATATTGAACTTCAGGAGTATTTTTCAGATTTTTATGCAAATAGCAACAGCCTTTTTTCCCCCCTAATGTAACTAAATTTGTGATGTTTTTACAAACCAGTGTTGGCATCAAATGGCATAAAGACACAACAAAAACTCACATTCAAAAATAACTCTTTTGACAGTAGAAAAAAATAATTAAACCATCCTGTAGTGAAACCTTTAGCGGACAAGCTTCTGCGTTCTGTTTGTGTGTCGGAGTAAGAGAATGGGAACATGAGAGAAAGGTGGCTTGAATCTTACCGCTGTGAGGCTTTGCGCCTGCTCGAGCAAATCTGCTCTCTGTCTTTCTGCCTGCTTCACATGGAAGGAGTTGCTTTGACTTTGGATGACAAACACTATCTCCCGCAGGTCTGGAGGAACACAAAGGACAAAAGATGTGAGAGAGCTCCCATACTGTGAAAAAGGATCAGGGCAATCGATGACCTTCTAAGAGCGAGACAAGATAAGAGCCACACTCTGAGTCGCTAAGGTGACTTTGGCTAATCTCCATTATTGGCGTGGCGATAATAACCACCACATCATGAGCTTTAATTGACTTGGAAGAGAGTATGTAAATGTCACATTCAAGACTATTTTACTTAATAAAAGATTAGCAGACAGATGAGTGTTTCTCTGAGGTGCAGAAACACCCAGAAGGTTGACACAGCCCAGATGTCCACTTCTGGCTTAGTGACACAGCTGCAGCATCAGTAAAATTCAACCTTATTACTATAATGCTAAAACCATAATTAACAGGTAGCTATTAGATCAATAATATCCTTTTACAACGGCCTGATAAAAGCTGCTTTGATGCTGACAGCATGATTAGATTTCATCTTTGACATTGACTCTGGTAGCTGCAGGTTGTCTTCATGAAGAATACACAGGATTGTAAAAGCAAAACAGCTCGGTAGAAAAAAATATCTTGTTGACTGCACAAACAAGTTCACATAAAGCCAGTGGCTCTCATGGTCAGCACAAAACAAAGACAAAGAACCACAGGGAAGTGAAAAAAAAAAGAAATGTGACATTTTGTCTTTGGGTTTGCACAATTTTATTTGACAACTCTAACATCCTGCATCAAAATGTCTGCAAAACATTGCTGAAATGGCTGAAAACCAAAAAGACTTTTCAAGAATTTGAGGCTGAGACGTGGGAGCCATTACCAGGTAATGAGAGTAACAGACGTCAGGATTTTGTGCTTCTAAACAGCTTCCCAGAAATACTGAAACAGGATGTGCGAGGCTTTTTTTTGTGTACAAGTAGCTTTTTCGAATTTAATTGGTCCGAGATTTGTATGGATTATAGTCATGAAGAGAATACAATGTAATTAATGTTGGAAATGTTTCCATGGTTCCAAAGATATCATCATTGGACGTATCTCAATGTTTCAGAACATAAATAAATAGCAATGGTACAAGTGGAAACGGTTTAAAAATAAACACTCCAAAAGTTACATGGGAATGGTGAGAGCGATGGCGGCAGGATTAGATGGATTACCTCTTCTTCAATTACAGTACTTGACCCAACTCTCACCTCAGAATCAGAATTATCTGTCAGGGACAGAGATAGACATTATATCACACGCAATATCTTTGTCAAATCTTTTTGATTAAGTACCGGTGGGAGTGTAAACCCTTTCCTTGGCACGTAACACAGATCCCATTGATCCGTGTGCCCCTGCGAGGGTGTTCTGGGGTTTTTCTTGATAAATCTAAGCATGTCCATCTCCTAACAGATCTACCCTCAAGAGCTGGGCTTAGTGAGAAAACAGCCACCTCACCTCTAAATGTCCTTTTGCTGAGTCTGCTAAATGAAAGACCGTGTGAACGTGTGTGTGCATTTAGTTTCTCATAAAGAAGTACATCTCAGGACCCCCAGGTGAGCCATCAGCCTCCTGATGCTGCACAGTACATCAATACCAGCTGGAGGACACTTAAGGCAAAAATCAGATAAGCAGTTTGCCAATTTCTCATTGTGTAGATAATGCACAAGAGATGTCAAAGCAAAGGAGAATGAGAGGTAAAAAAAAGAAACTAATTAAAACTGAATTCACTGGCCTTGACTCAACGCTAATGGCTTTCGATTAATCATCAAATGACGAAGCGAAAAGGGGAAGGGGAAAAATCCTGGTTTAGTGCCCTTGTTCCATCACCTCGATCATTCCTCAGCTCCTCTGCTTGTTCAAAATCACCTCTCTGCACTGTATTGATACACAGGGCAGCATACTTATAAAATTGATGCATCTATCTGTACTTAAAGACTATCTGGTTTTTCTGTGTTTACGCTGTTGTTGCCAAAAATGCCACAAAGCCTTTAAGTGAACAGGTGGGCCTGCACAATTACAGCTCTGGGCTTAGATGAATATAGAATTAAAAAAAAGTTATATTTTCAGATTCAAACATCAAGTGATGGGAGGTTTGTGGAGAAACAAAGATTATTAATGTGGTTCCTACAGCAGCATGGGGGACTAAGGCTGGAATGTGTTGAGTGTTTGCCTATTGCTACATTTTTGTTAGGAAATTGGGGCACTAGAGAGGAATTGCAGCTGTTGGTTGTTTGTTTTGCCATCTAACAAAAGGGAGACATGTAAGGTCCTCTGAGCAGAAATTGTCCCAAGGTCAAACAAACCCACCAAAAACCAGTATTCTGCCTTTGTTCTGACAACATCCTGCAAAGTTTAAATGAAGACACTAGGTGCTTTTAAAGCCACCCGTGACTTTTCCTTCACTTTTCAAACACAATAGAAAATTCCAGTGGTCACCATGGGTATAGTTCTGGTTTACATCATTTCTCATACTTACAGCATGGTTTGGGGTTTTAATTTGAAGTTGTATGATTACCTTTTTAAATTAAATACCATCTAATCATTTAATGTTTAAAGTTTTAACCAAATTTGAAGCTGAGATCACATAAAGGAGCAGGAAGGCTAAGGTTTTAATCCTAAGGTGTATTCACACCAGGAAAGTCCTTTGGTCTGTTTGTTTGATTTGGACCAAAAGCAAACTTTTTTTTTCGTTTGGTGTGGTTTGCATTCACATTGTGCTTTTTTGCAAGTGGACTATAATTTGTAAACAAAGCCATGTGGGTAACGATCATTGGACAGATTACACGGAAAGAAAGATGGAAAACCTGCTGCAATTATGCACATCCGTACTGTCAGTACAACTGCAATACCATTTAGAATTTCAAGAGCAGCTCAAATGGGTTGTGTGTGCATCTGTCCAAATCTCTTACAAATTCAAATTGCTCCAGGTCTGTCTACAGCTCACTGTAGCGTTAGTGGTAGCATTAGTAACACTAAAGGGCTAATTTTTACCATGATGTTTAGCAATGATGGCTTGTAAAGTCCAAAAAGGTGTTTCCTGTAGTTGCTTTGGGTTGAGGTTGGTCTGTATTCACACCAGAAGCGGACCACACCAGAGTTTATTTGGAAGCAGATAAAGACCACCTCCAAAGGCAATGAGGAAATTAACTCTGGTCCATTTAAAATGGACCAAACATGTCAGGTGTCAAGACACCCCTCTATTGACCTTTGATTGTAAAAAATAAATAAAAAATAAACAGAGAAGTTACACTAGGTTTTAAATGGTTTTGGTTTTATGTGTTTTTTCCCTCTGTTTATTAATCTACTAAATTTTAAACAAAGAAATTAACAATCCAGCCATGGTCACGCTAGACACTCTGCATGATCAAACTGCTTTTGAGTTAGCTTTTTATTGAATAAAACAGAAACAAAATGCCTTATGCTGCTCATACGGTGTTGTTTTAACTAAATTAAGACCTGGTCAGGATCATATGACAGGACATTTTATCCCCATTTTGTCAAAAACATTTAATTGCAAAAGAGGCATATTTTATTTTAGGCACAGTCTTGTGGGGAATAAGGAAAAAAATTGAAGGTTCCTGAGGAAATGCAGCCAAATCCCCAGTCTCCTCAGCGCAAATGATTTTATTTTGCCAGGTTGATGGAACGAGAATGCAGGAGTCTAGTGTTAGTTTATCTCTCCTTGTTCAGCATTCCTCGGAGGCCACTCCATGTAGGGGGGAAAAAGTCTGCATCAGCCTTGAAATATATTGGATAAAATAGGAAGGAGGAGATTTCTGCCGCCTTCTTTTGCCATTTTCTGATTGCGCTCCTCAACGCACAAAGCCACTCTTTAAAAGGCCATCGCTATCTGTTCTGGCAACTGCATGTGAACACTTTAACACCGCTTCAACATTTTTCTACATTGGGTGGTAAAAAAAGTAATCAAACGAATTATGGAACCATGACTAATAAACTAAAATAATGTTGTTTTTCTAGGTGAGTGTGTGTAAAAAAAGAGTGTAGTTGCTTGGCCACTGGCTGTGCAGCATTGTAGTGTCATTTACACAAATCAATAGTGACACCTCCTTGGAGCAGATCGCAGATGTTGCCAAGTGGCAGAATAGCTGGGAGCGTCTGACTCCCGGGCACTCCTGCAGGTCTGTCGCCCCCATCAGTTTCTCTAAGTGGGTGTGTGAAGTCATGGGGACTGTCACAGGAACATTTATTTAAGCCTGCAGCAGCTCTGTCAACACAGCTCGATAAGCGCACGTAGCACGGCCGAGGAAACAAACGGAGCTCAAAGAATTTCTAATCCGGTCCAAAACTCGGGAAGAAAAGTGACGAGACAAAGGACAGACGGCGGATTAGGGGAGCAATCTTCATGATAAACATTTGGAGAAATCTAGACTGATACGAAGCTGTGGATGAGGCCATTAGACTGTTTGTGGGCAGGACTTACGATGGGTCCAGAGCAGATGAGAGAGGATGTCAATAGTTCATTTTCAAAGTCAGTCGCCTCAATTTCTCAGCCAGCAGCTGATCGTGCCGATGTGAAACCCGATTCACTCCAATGACTCACATGATTGAACTCCCAGAGACAAAAAGGTTCTGAGTAAACCTCCAAAACCCTTCCCCTACATCCTTGTTCGTCTCCAAAACAGCATGACAGAGACAAACGGCACTAGGAGTTTTTCAGCATCAAGTTTTAGAAACAATAAAAGTCCACCTGCAGACATGTTTGATATTCAGTCCGAAGGCACCTGCTCCAATATATCCAACTTTTAGGTTGTTGAGAGTTTGATGTAGATATATAAAAAAGGATTTACATTTCCCACTGGCAATCATCTACTGTGACGCAGCCTTATGGATCAAGCAGCAGCAGCAATGATTTTCTATCAGCTTACATCTCCTGTTAATACATACTTTTAATTGCCTTGCAAAAGATCGATGGGAAACATAGTGTATTTAACTTTCAGCTTACTGCTGAAAAAAAGATCGATATAACAAATATCAACCAATAAACACAGACAGCAAAAAATATCAGAGGGAGCTGGTATAGAG